GAGAGGAGAGAAGCTGCTGAGATAACAAGCCTGTATTTTCAGGCATTCAGTAGGTACCTTTTCAGTTCCATCCAGCAGGCATTTATGAATTCAGATAGTGTTGTAGGCACAGCACCAAGTAATCAATACTTCCACTTATATGGTTTCCATTGATCCTTACTGCACCCCTAAGGCGTGGATGTGCCTGTTTCTATTTTAAAACTAATGAGGCTGAGTTCCAAATGGTTAAGCAAGTCTCAGAATAGGATTTGACCCCAGATCTGCCCATGCCGGAGACAGTGCTACAGTTCTTCATCTGCGCTACGTGGAAAAGCAAAATCCTTATCAATTTAAGTTCCAAAGCCCATCCATTAAAGCACCTTTGAAGTTCCATTTTCGATTCCAATAGTGAAGGAAATGACAGGACACTCTTCTTTGTTTCACCTAGGTATATGGCCATTATCGACCCTTTGAAACCCCGACTGTCTGCCACGGCCACCAAGATTGTCATCGGGAGTATTTGGATCTTGGCATTTCTACTTGCCTTCCCTCAATGTCTTTATTCCAAAATAAAAGTCATGCCAGGACGTACTCTTTGCTATGTGCAGTGGCCAGAGGGTCCCAAGCAACATTTCACGTAAGTCTATTCTCCTTGACAATTTTCAGCTCAGTCTATCAAACACTTAGGAAAATGAAGCTGGGGTGAGGGGATTATGGAGTTATGAGCCAGTCATTCACTTCCTATACTACTTGGGGAAAGAAATGTAAAACTACACTGCGATCTGATATGCTGATTTGTAAAACTACAAAGGTTTTTAATTGGAAAAGTGATGACTTCTATTGGAGAAGCACTAGCATGTCCTAAACAGGGTGGTAAAGGCTGGAAGCCATGTGCCAGGGACAGCAGGGTATTATTGACTGAGGAGCTAGAAGTGGGAACCAATGCCCAGTGTGTTGATTGCTCTTTTAGAAAGCCTGGCTGCAGGAGAAAGAAGTCCTGGCAGGTGTTTTAATTTTGTTTTACTTTCATATGTTTGTATTTGTTCATTTCAGCATGAAAAGTCCTGGCCACTACATTAAAAAAGAAATAGGTATGCCATTTGATAGATTTCATATTTTAGACCTAACTTGAAAGAAGTAAAAGAGAAAGCCAATGTAATTGTTTAATTTGATTTTTTTTCCTGTTCCTGTAAATTTCAATGAACTTGTTTGTTTTCCTATCATTGATGACATTTAAAAATAATAAATGTTGCCAGGAACTATCAATTTTTTGAGACAAGGTCTCTCTATGTAGCCCTGGCTGGCCTTGAACTCTGAGAGATATGCCTGCCTCTACCTTCCAAGGGGTCAAAGAACTATGCAGCCATGCCTGGCCTGCAGTCACCTCTTCTGAAGTTATTTTATCCAACTCTGCTCTCCCAGAAGTCCAGACATATTTTTTTAAGGGAATAAGAAATAGTTTATTCTGGAGCCATTTTGAGTGATCATGACCCATGAACACAGATTTAGGATACTCTAAATTCTATATTCCAAAGTGGAAGAAGCTTCATTAAGTTCTATGGAACAGAAAAGGGCACAAATCAAGACAACTTTAAAATACATTGGTGGGTATATCAGAGAGAAGGATACAGTAAGGTGGGGAGCTTTTCTATAGGCCTAAGATGCTCTCTGACAGCATCCTTAGCTTTTCTATAGGCCTACGATGCTCTCTGACAACATGCTTAGCTTTTCTATAGGCCTAAGATGCTCTCTGACAACATCCTTCACTTTCAGGCCGGTGGAAGCTAGTAGTCTGCTAAGTTAAAATAGATCCCAACTCATCTTCATCTACTGGTAAAAAGATATTAGATCAGACAGAGGTGGGCAAGGAATGCCTGAGCTAGAGGACTAGAACTACTACACGATCAGGCATGACTTCTCTTAGAAAGCTCCATTTCCAGTTTTCTCTCTTGGCCAAGTGGGAGGTTCTACTAAAGAGAAAGCAGGTATGGTTATTAATCTGTGCCATAACTACCTATTATGAATAATCCTACCTAGAGCATATTATTATTCTGAATCACTTCTCCGTTGATTTTTAAATCAGTACTTAGCTACCAGGATGAAGATAGGCAAAGAGGTTGAAGATTTCTTGTATGGTGTCCTTCACTCACAGAATCAACTCACCTAGGCTCATAGGGGCTCACAGACAGAACTGACAACTAGGTAGCCTGCATGGGACTGCCCTAAGCAGGCTGCGTTTGCATTGCAGTTGTATAGTTTGGTCCTCTTGTGGTACTCCTAACAGCAGGGACAGGGGGTGTTTCCAATGCTTTTCCAGGCTTTTGGGACCCTACTTCTCATACTGGGTTGCTTTTCCCAGCCTTAATATATGGGGAGGTGTTTAGTCTTGCCGCAACTTGACATGCCATGTTTTGTTGATACTCATGGGGAGATCTGACCTTTCCTGAACAGAAACAGAGAAGTGGATTGGAGAGTGGGCACAGAGGAGGGATGAGGGAAGGGTCTGGGAGAAATGGAGGGAAGGGAAATTGTGGCTGGGATGTAAAATAAATAATTTTTTTAAAAAAGATTTTATTTTAGAAGACAAACCACAGTTATAAACTCATTAATTAATTTAAAGTTTTCAAAAGACAGTAGAAACCACATAAAATGTGAAAATTTGTGTACGAGCCAGAATATTATATATTATGCTTCCATTTCTCCCTAACGACATCCTTGTCGCTTTGATGGAAAAGTACGGAATCATAAAATTAAATTTGGCAATTTGTAAAGCTGTGTGTTTATCACGCATGGCGAGTTTGTTATCTGAGTTAATAAGGCAATCAAACGTACCATGACTGTGGAGACATGCGTGCAAATGTTTTCACAGGGTTTTTCTTTTGGAACTCAAAAGAAGCGCACAATGTGGCTTAGAGGGCCGCTTTTCATGCAGAAGAAAAAGTATTTTATGAATGTCTGATGTCACCAGAATAAATAGAATATTCTCTTGTGGAATAAAATACGTCTCATGGCTGACATATTCTTTCCTTCACCCTTACCTTTGAGGGTTCACCTCAATAGTTTAGCTCAGCAATTACTAAACAAAGGACAACAGAGTGGGGGTATCACCCTTTGTCCTAAGTGAAGGTAATGTGTATACATTAAAAGACTTTATTTATAAATTTTCATTAATAAGCTACAGGTTGGAGATGAGCAATTAAAACATTTGATGCATGACCCTGGGTTACAATGTTTGCATGATATTTTGATATGTTTGTGAAATGAAGACAGCGATAAGATGAAAAAACCGTTTGCAGTTGTATTATGATTTAAAGCTCAACAAGTTCAAAGTCCCATATGTCTCCTTCCGGGAGTCTTCAGCGTGCATGTGTGTGTATTTCTCTGCAGGTACCACATCATCGTCATCATCCTGGTGTACTGTTTCCCATTGCTCATTATGGGCGTCACCTACACCATAGTTGGAATTACTCTCTGGGGAGGAGAGATCCCAGGAGACACCTGTGACAAGTACCATGAGCAGCTGAAGGCTAAGCGAAAGGTACTGTCCCACCTAACTGCACCTAACTGGTGCAGACTGGGTCCCTTCCGAGAGGGAAGGGAGAACCGACTGGTGTCATTTGATACGATGTACGTTCATATCCCATTTCAATCTTTCCAAATGCCTTCTGTGTTCTTTTTACATAATCTTCTCGTTGTTGCTGGCCTCCTGCGGACCTTGGCTCTGAAGGTCTGTGCATGTCTGTCTGCAGTAGACGTTCCATCCTTACGGATGAGCTGTTTTGTCGCTCGCCTTTGTGGCTCGTTCTTAGTTACTTTCCCGAAACTGTCAAAGTTTTGCTTAGATGGAATCTAGCTGATTGTTATTTCTGCATGTGTAAGCTGCTTTTTATGGTGCTGTACTCTGAAATCTGCTCAAACCTGCCTTTATTCCCCGAGTGGCACAGCTCGCTAAAAGTTAAAATAATGGAGTTTTCTCCTCCGCCCTGTCTCCTGTCCCTCTCTCTTCTACTCCCTCTTCCACTCCCCCTTCTTTCCACTCCCCTCCCTCGGTTCCTTCCTCCTCCACTTTCTCCTCTTTCCCTCCATCTTTTCCCTTCTCTCTTTTACCTTCCCTTCTCTCTGTCCCCCCTTCTCCTCTTCTCTTTCCTTCCTTTCTCCTTTGTTTATCTTTCCCTTCATCAGCAACCTTATACATCTCCTTAAGGAATGAGTATTTCATTAGTGGTATTATACACATCACTGATGACTTGAAAAATTTGTTTCTGATCATTCACATTAAATATTAAAATTACTCAGAAATAGGCTTTTGGCATCATTTGATGAACATGTCAATCATTGTTATTTATTTCATTTAGGACTGGTGAATCTATTTATTGGAATATTACCTACCTTATGAGAATCCCTTTAAAATCTTGTTATCTTTAAACATCTTATCTACTACTGTCTCATAAAAAGTAATCAATCCAAGTTTTAAAATATCATGGAACAAATGACTCCTTTTTGACACCACATCTTTACTGGCAAGTGATGCTAAACAAGACACGTCACATTAATATACACAATCTTCTATATTTAAAATTAGAAAGTAAAACCGGTCTATTTCTGACTAGCTACATATATGAAATATATACATAATTTCTTCTTATGTTTTTGAAAAAATTTTATCTTAAAAATTATCTACTAAAACAAACTATCCCTATAACAACTGAGAAAAAAAAACAAGACAGGAAATGTTTCAACAGTATGCTCATTTTACATATATCTTGATTTCCTTTGAAATCTTTCATTATTATTACTATCATCATCATTATCATTATCATCAATATTGGGGAATACTACTGTGTATCACAAGCTCTGTATGGGAGTTTAGAGAACAACTTTCAAGAAATACAAGTGTATTATTATTATTACATATTTTAATTTTTTTCATATACATGTAATATTTTTCTAGGAAAATTTCATACTTGTTCTTTTATTTTTGTTAATATAAAGTCTTAATGAGAACAAAACCAAGAGGAAAATTGTCTTTTTTTCCCATTTACCATGACTGGTAAAAATAAGATATAAATGTTCCTTCGATTTCCATTGTCTACACAATACCAACCAAGTCTGGAACATGACTTTTCTAGAATATTTTAGAAAAGAGGGCACTTGAAAGTTATGATTCATTTATTTATCTCTGACTGAAATAATGTAAAATGACATCCCAGGCATAGGTACTTCATAGTCATATCTCATCTCAACCCTAGATTTCTTCACAGTTTATCCATGCTTCTAACTCTCTATAATAATCTCATTTTACCTTAATTTTGAAGTATAGAATCTCTTCATTTCTTCTTGTTTTAAAAATAGCAGCTGGATTATATTTTTCTGACACATAATAAATGTGTAAATATTTGTGTATATAAATGTGACTGACTTCTAAAAACGTATATAGAAATAAACACACTTTAAATATACTTCAATAAAATTAGCTAGCAGGCATGTTGGTACCTGTAATCTCAGCGCTTATAAAGCACATAACACACAGGTGACTGAGACAGAGGAATCCTCCTGGTGTCTTAGAATTACTGTTTAGAACATTATGGTAATTAGCATTGTGCATCCAGGACCCTTGAGACTTAGCATCCCAAGGTTCTATACCTGGTACCTTTTGCACATCACTTAGTGCAAGCTGCCATTCTCTTCTAATGCTATGTTGTTCTCTTCTCTGTGTAGACATCCTGAATGCAGATGCAGAACTCATATTCATAAACAAATATCTGGTTCTAGTTATTTTTTCTGTTAACTAAATGAGAAATTTTTAGGATTCCTATAGATTTTTATCAAGACAGAGTCGAGACAAAAGATATTGGTTTTCCAGACCCTAAGGTTTCAATAAATGAATGTTAACAAGAATAGAAAGGGGAAATGCCCGGAGACATCTTTTGACTATAGGGGCAAAGGCAGCAACCTTGAGAAGGGGTGGGTTATTTTACACTTTTCAAATCTGGTGATACCATCTCTTTTTCTTACTTTAGAAAATACCCATTCGGGGCTGGAGAGATGGCTCAGAGGTTAAGAGCATTGCCTGCTCTTCCAAAGGTCCTGAGTTCAATTCCCAGCAACCACATGGTGGCTCACAACCATCTGTAATGGGGTCTGGTTCCCTCTTCTGGCCTGCAGGCATATACACAGACAAAATATTGTGTACAATATTTTCATATATATATATATGTTGAGCAAAGAAAGTGAAAGTGCATTTCCCTCTCCACATTTTAATTCCCAAGTCATATTTTATGCTGTTAAATTGAACTTTGGCTTAATAGTTTTTGTCTTTTGACTCCCCAGAAATAACATTGAAAGTAACAAAGTGTACTTGTACTATCAAAAAGAGAACTCACCACACATTGTCATCTGTAGGACAGTGTAGCTCATGCTTTTACTCTTTGAGGGCAGCCACCCAGCTACCAAGTAAATACACAGAGTCTTATTCTTACTTATGAATGTCTGGCCTTCGTTTGGCTTGTTTCTAGCAAGCTTTTCTTAAATTATCCCATCTACCTTTTTCCTCTGTGTTTTTATCTTTCTCTCTTCTGTCTACCTTTTTTCCTTCTTACTCCATGGCTGGTTGTGTGGCTGGATGGCTGGGCCCCTGGTGTTCTCCTCTCCTCCTTTTCCCCATCCTTCCTCTTCTCTCTTTTCTTGGGCCTAGATTTCTCCTCCTATTTATTTTCTCTGCCTGCCAGTCTCGCCTAGCCCTCTCCTCCCTAGCTATTAGCCGTTCAGCTCTTTATTACACCAATCAGGTGTTTTAGGCAAGCAAAGTAACACAGCTTTACAGAGTTAAAGAAATGCAATATAAAAAGAAGGTAACACATTGTTGCACCATTACACAAATATTCCACAGCATAAGCAAATGTAATCCATCTTATGCTAATATTCCACAACAGGAGAGAGAGTAATTGAGCAACTGCTGAAATGCTGGCTTTGTGAATAAGCGAGCATCTTTTTATCTGGGTTTTAGCAGTCAGTTCAGTTCTCTATACTTCCATTTATTTACTGTATATCAGAAAAAAACTCTCTATAGACTGACTCTATGGCTTAGAATGTAAAGATACTTGCCACCAAATTTGCCAAGCTCAGCTGGATCCCATAAAAGAAACAATTTCCACAAGTTGTTCTCTGATCTCCACACATGCAATATCATATAAAAAAACTGGGCAAATACTCACACAATAAATAATCTAAATATAATAAAAAGAACTTTTAGGCTATGGTGGTTACCCAGATCCCACTTGCGTTAATATCATAAAGAGTCCTCACAGCTGTGGTGTGCCTGTGTTGATAACTGTCTTACATTTCTATGCCTTCATGACACATTCCTCCTTATGGCCATGCATTTTTATCCAGAAGTTTGTTATTTTTATTATTTTTTCTTTACAGTAAACATTGTTTTCTGAATATATTTTCTACTTTGTCATTCCCCACTGGACCCTGACAAATTGTAGGAATATCCTTTATTATTTTTAATCATAATACAAGGATATGTTATGAAATACTGTATGTCTTAAGTTTTAATCATAATATATATAATCATATAAGTATATACAACTATTTTAAGAGTAAATTTTCTAGGAAAATGAATTTGAGAGATGAAAGATAACTTTTGAAGTTTCTACCTTGTTTCAAAATGTCTCCAACAACAAGAGTAAATATCATAGAAATTTTAGATAGAAAGTAATAATTATTTATCAAATATTTTTCACTCAGTTTTTTATTTTGTTTTAGCTGAAGAATCAGTCAGCAATGTTGGAATATATTTGCTTCACATTTTTTTTGAAAGTGTGCGAATAACTTAATCCAGCAGAGAAAGATGAAGCATGCAGTTGGTTCTTTTAAAACTGCGTTCTTTCAGTGGAAAAGAACCAAAAACAAAGCCACATACATCTAAAGCTTCTGGCAGGACTGAATCTCATCACCACTCTGTGTTTTTAATTGAGACAATGAAACTTGAGGACAAATAGCTGTCTGTGCACTCTGGCTAGCTTCTGCTGCTGTGCCTCATGCTACAGGATGAGATCAGAGAACGCTTGGCCGCTGTGCTGTGCATTGATAGCCAACTCCACATGTCTGAATCCTTTGATTGACTAATCTTCCAGACCTCCTTGGCTGGCATTGAGAAAGATTCATCTTGGAAAGCCTGGAAACGTTTCTGTGTTTCCTTCAGGTTTTCCATTAAGCCTTGAAAAGTAAAAGTGTTTATTCCTTTATTAAAAAATAAGAAAGGGTAACTCTACTAATAAAAGATACATATAGGTCTTGACTTCTTAACAGTGACGTGAAAAGATTTCCAGAGATTGCTCTTGGTAGCTCACATCCACAGTTACAAGTTCAGGGAAGGCAGAGTCGGACCCTGGCATCATGTATTCCTATGAATAATAAATCTTAACACATGAGATATATAAAACGGGCATAATTCTCAATACTTCAGGATACGCTGTAACTGAACACAATGTGTTCTTGTGATGATAAATGAAAATTAAATATAAGCATGTC